ACAGTTTTTACAATATGTATACTTTTTGCTGGTAGTCAGAACGAAGCCCGTCATGACGGAATAAACTTCAGAATAGACTACACGATAATCAGCATCACAACCTGAGTCAATACCGATTAGTGAAAGATTATCAATCTTTCGCTTATGTCTAAATGTTGCGTGATCCGTGGCGTCTACTGTACATTCCCTATATAAGCTTCTTTAAACTACAATAGTGCACACGAAGTTCGGCCAGGTACCCCGAAAATCACACATTTTTAAATACGCACGCCTTTCCAATTTGTTTTGCAGTAACGTCAGTCATATAAGCCACCGAAAAAGGTGTGTAAACGTATAACGGCAACGTAATGAGAATTTGCTCCAATTGGTGTGGTTTAAACTTGCATCATAATGACGTATGGTTAGACGGACAAAGTAGAGTACTTCAGAAATTTATGATTTAGGAGGAAATTAACAGTTTGGAAGTGTGTACGGTGATATGGGATCACGAAGTTGAGGGTCGGTTCTGCAGGTATGTTATCGTGTATAGTATGAACAACAATCAACAATGACGATGGAGTGATGTGAAAGGTTGCCATTGCGGTATAGGAGATAGGGGTGGCTTTACTTTAGTCTAATCTACATGGTTGTCCAGCTACATGTATTTTCTCTCTTTCTGATCCAGAGGAGTGAATACCGGCTTATTTCACCCAGAAAATTTGCGGGCGGTGTGATGGCGGCAGTAGCTGTCACGCCCTTGTATCTATAGTCGTAAAGGCCGACCGGCCAGTCACTCCCTGCTAGTCTTGCGAAACTGACCGTTATGGGCGTGGTTGTTGTTGTTGTTGTTGTTGTAGGATCAATTGCAAGGAAAGTGGCTTTAGAACCACGACTTCCAGATCTTCCTTAGATACCTGATTGTGGCAGAGGGTCTTCGGACGGTTAGGTCGATCGGCGCTCTCAGTCTGCAGTCGACAGCAAACTCCTGAACTCTGGCGACCATCTCCGCTGCGCATTCCATCAGGTGTTCGTTAGTCTCTTCCTCCCCACAGGCTGCACACGTGGAATCATCAGTCAGATTATACCGCT